TACTTTTATCTGCTCTAATGCCATTTTATCACACTCTAGATCTATATTTTTCAAGAAAATATATTTCACATATTTGAATTATTACAAAAATATACTTGAAGTAGCTACAAACTCTACTTATTTGTGATTTGAGTGGATTATAGTTTTAGGAGAAATATAAATTTTTAGGATATTTTATGTAAAGTAGAAATTTGGATATATTTACTCAAATAAATGTATAAATAGATATTTATCTAAATATTTGTATTATGAGCCCTATAAAGTCTAAGTGTCTCATAATAGTTTTTTTTTTTTTTTTTTGGATAAAATTTTTTTTTTTTTTTTTTTGGGAAAATTAGGGGTCAGGCTCAGCTTTCATTTATGAACAAAAAAGTTACTTATGAAAAGGGCCAAAAAAGGTGCAGCGAGCCAGCGACAAAGACAAAAACAAGATTAGAACTTGAGATTGACAAGAGAAGAAAACAACTAAAAAGACAAAAAAAAAAAATAAATAGGGCTCACTATAACCCACTAGTCAAACAAGGACTAAATTAATGGAAGTGCCACATGCATTATAGGTGGCAGGGAGAACTTTCTTTGAAAGGTTAGGGGCTTCGAACGTGAGCCTCGCGGGAGAATTCCTTCGTGTCAACCAAAGGGATTGTACGCGTGAGCTCAGGCAGGGCGACTAAGTAGTACATATTCAAGCACTATTATTGGAGAAATTATTTTGTGAGGTTATCAGACGGTTTAGAGGTAAATCGGGATGTGCCACGTCACTCGGTACAAATCAGTACACAGCAAAAAAATGATGTTACACATCCTGATTCGTCTCTGAACCGTCCGATAACCCCGCAGAATAATTTCTTCTATTATTGAAAGGTGGAGTGATGACCACCTGATTGTAAAATGAAGGCAAAATATCAGACCATTCAGATTAAAGCGACATTTCAAGGGAAGATCGAACAAAGAAATCACATCATTGAGATCGGTACACCAATTAGAGTGAATAAGATCAAGTCCACAATACTGCAGCAGCATCCACATAAAATAAGATAAAGCCCACAATTCATTTGGAAGACGTTGCGTTTGAACTTCTTATCGATAAAATTTAAACTCCTCTCAAGTTTTCTTGTATTTCTCGTAAATGTATAATTTTTAGAATTTATGGTGTATTTTTCAATTATTTACACGTCGAATGTCAAAAAGATGGATGCTTTTGTCTAGTAATCACGTAAAATTTTATAAAGAACCAACAGGATAAAAAGAAAAACTAAAGAGTAAGATGTAATTTACGTAATGATTGTCTTTTTAATGTTTATTTTGAGGTAATGTATGTTTTGCTGAGCTTAATTTTTTCAACAAAGAAATCTATCATAAAGGCAACTACAACATAACTGTGTTCACCTTGATGGTTTGCACATTGACTCGAACGCATTCTTCAATTATTTATATATCGAATGCCTTGAAGAATGCATGCTTCTATAAATGATCGACTAGGTAAATTTTATGTTAAATGATAGTTTTTTTAAAGTTCATTTATTATTTCAATTGTAATTATTATGTATTTTTCCTCTTTCATTTATGTGTTATTTTTATTCATTTTGATGCTTTTCGAACTTGTACACACAGCATGGGTGCAAGAGAAATTTTATTAAAATGAGATATTTTTCGTATATACACACTATGTATTGCATGTGAAAAAGCTTAGATATAATAATATTAAAGATTTATGATGTGTTTTTATTCAATTTAATGTATTTTGTAGTTATACATACTGTGTGTACAATAAATTTTTTTATTTATTTTAATGCTTTTTTAAAAGCTTAGATGCAATGATAAAATGGTTTATGTGATATTTTTGTTTATTTTGATATTTTTTTAACTTGTACACACCATGTATAAGTCGTAAACAGTGTGTACAAGAGAAATTTATAAGCATTTTGTGTACACTTGTACAAGATAAATTTATAAGTCCATTATGTGCACTTGTACATAGTGCGTATAAGGAGAATATATACACTTTATGTATACTTGTACACAATGCACGTACAAGGACTAAATACTTTTTGTACACTTGTAGACAATGTATATACAAGCTTATACATATATTGTATACCCCTTGTACGTACATAATATGCGTACAAGGAAAACTTATACACTTTTTGTATACTTGTACACAGTGTGTACAAGAAAATTTTATAAGCAATTTCTGTACACTTATAGACAGTGTGTGTATAAGAAGAATTTATACTATTTGTGTACACTTATACACAATGTATGTACAATGATAATTTATAAGTACTTTGTGTACACTTATATAAAGTGTGTGTAGAAGAGGTATATATATATATATATATATATATGGAATCTATACACTATGTATGCTTTATATAAAAGTGCTTTATATAAAAGTGTATATATAAGAAAATTTTATAAGCACTTTGTATGCACTTGTATATAGTATGTGTAGATGCTTGTGGACACACTCTGTACAACTTTAACACACTGTGTGTAAAGAGAATTTTATGAATAGTTTATGTACAATTGTATAGAGTATGTATACAAGCTTGTACACACACTATGTATTGTACATAATGGGTGTAGAATATGCGTAAACTTGCATATAATATGCGTACATGAGAATTTATAAGCACTTTTGTATACTTGTACACAGTGTGTATACAAGCTTATACATATACTATGTATACTTTGTACACAGTATTTGTACAAGGGGAATCTATACACAAAGAGAGTTTATAAGCACTTTGTATATACTTATACGTAGTGTGTGTACAAGCTTGTACACATAATATACAAGAGAAATTTATACACTTTGTGTATAATTTGTACACAGTGTATGTACAAGAGAAATTTATAAGCACTTTGTGTACAATTGTACACAGTGTCTGTACACAGTGTGTATACAATAAGAATCTATACACTTGATGTACACTTGTACACAGTGTGTATACAAGAAAAATTTATAAGCATTTTATGTACACTCATACACAGTGTGTGTGCAAGGCAAATCAATACAATGTGTACACATGAATTTTAAACATCATTTATGGAGAAAATCCAAATAGATAATGTAGATTCGTAGTTCATGCCTTTAACAAATACAAAGATAATCTAAAAATAAAAATAAAGAAACCTAAACACCTTCTGAAACCAAAAAAACTATTTCTTAACAAAAAAAACTATGTATATTCTTTCTTATTTGTTAAAAAAAAATATTGTAATATTGGTTGGAGGTGGCAAACCCTAAATAGTAGCCGTTCATTTCTTCTCTTTTCAAATACCTTATAAATAAAATGGCACCTTCATCAAACTTACCTTAAAGGAGACAACAAAGAAATCCTTGTTCGAAGATGAAGATTGACGAAGAAGACGAGAGCAGTATTTATTCGACAATCAAAATCTCAAAGTCCTCTTCCAACTTGGAAACCCTAAACCTTTTGGTCTTCCGCAATTTTAAAAGTGAAATGACAGGATAACTACTGGCTTTTTTTCAAAATTATCATGGAGTTTGGGTCAGATCGTGCAGTAACTGATGTACAATCAAACTCCATTTCCTTACATAAAAAAGAATATTTTATGTATATTCTTTCTCATATTTTCTTTTATATTTATTTTTAATCATATCTTTATATTTATTAAATTTTTAAATTAGACCTACATATTCATTTTTTAAATTAAATGAATAAACTAATTATGAATAACCTAATTTGAATCAACTAATTATGTAAAAAGAATAACATAATTTAAATAATCTAATTATATAAATATTTTTTAAATTAAAAAAAAAACAATGCATTTATAAAATATTAATTCTTAATTAGTTAATAATAAATATGTACACATGTAATAATTGAAATTTTGAGCTGTGCTTTTGGATAGAGATGTCAAAATCGGGTTACAGATCGAGTTCAGGTCTAACCCGAATTGACCCGACATTGTTCGACCCGACCCGTTTTACAAACGAGTCAGTTTTTAGGACCCAAACCCGACCCACATAGTGCTAATGGGTGAGTCCGTCGTTGAAGGAAGTACCCACCTCGGATCGGAAGTTACAACATTTTGATCGGAAGCAACCAAGGGAGTTCGCTCGCTGTGAAGGTACCTTACCACCTCGGCTCCTTCATTGTTGTTCAACTTTGCTCCTTGGACGACGTTCCCTTTCAGTCGGATCAGAAGTTGCAAAATTTTGATCGGAAGAATGACGGGAGTTCGCTTGTTGGCTCCTTCGTTGTTGTTCGACGTCGCTCCTTGGATGATGATCCCTTCTTATTGGATCGAAAGTTGCAACATTTTGATCAGAAGCAACGACGGGAGTTCGCTCGTTGGCTCCTTCGTTGTTGCTCGACTTTGTTCCTTTAACGACGTTCCCTTCCGGTCGGATCGGAAGTTGCAACATTTTGATCAAAAGCAACGACGGGAGTTTGCTGCTGTTCGACTTTGCTCCTTGGATGACGTTCCCTTCCGGTCGGATGGAGGTTCGCTCGTAGGCTCATTCTTTGATGTTTGAGCTCGCTAGCTGTGAAAGATACTGGGTCAAAATTCGGTCAATTTCGAATTTCCGGATCAATCTGAATCATATCCGAAATTCAAAGTGGGTCGAAACTCAAAACTCAAATCCAACCCATTTTGAGTTTGAATCGACCGAAATTCAAAATTTTCATGTGGGATTAGAATCAGATTTTCGGATTGCGTCAATTATTCTCTACTTCTGGATTTCTAGCATTTGTTCGACTGCTGGAGTTCTGTTAGAGATGATCCGCGGTCCGTACGTAATAATTTCTGCTGACCGTGGGTCGTTTTCGTGCGTTGTGATCGTGGGGGAACTTTTATTTTATCCAGTGAACGTACGCTCCTCTACGTTCGGATTAAGGCAAAAAAAGCGCAATACCGAGTACCGAGTACCGAGTTGTACAGAGTTTTTTAAAAAAACTCGGTACTGCGCTGTTTTGATCTAAAACCGAACCTAGAGGAGCGTGTGTTCACTGTTCACTGGATGTAATAAAAGTTCGATCGTGAGGACCTTCCCAGTCTCCTCTACTCCCGCCGGCAAACCAACAGGAACAAAACCCTAGACTAAGCCAGCGGCCGCCTGCGATGTCGCCAGTAGATCCTCACTCTTTTACCGACTCCTCGGAACCCTTCTCTACCCACATCGCTCTCAACCTATTCCTCGATTTCTCTTCCTCAACCATCATCGGCTCCGCTCTCATCTCTCTCCCCACATCCTATTCCGGAAACCTCACCCTAGACTCCCGGGCCATCTCCATCTCCGCCGTTATCGATCCCGACTCCCTCTCCCCTCTACCGTTCGCCATATCCTCATCCGCCGACCCCATCAAGGGCTCACCTATCACGATCGCCCTCTCTTCTCACTCCTCTGTCCTCATCGTCTTCTCCACCTCCCCATCCTCCTCTGCTCTCCAATGGCTTTCCCCTGCGCAGACCTCTTCCGGATCTCATCCTTTCGTTTATACCCAATGCCAATCCATTCACGCCAGATCCGTTTTCCCATGCCAAGACACACCCGCCGCACGCATCCGCTACTCCGCCCGTATCAACCTCCCTCTTCCCCTCTCGGCCGTCATGTCCGCCTCTAAGCTAGCACGCCGCGATCCCATAGCCGGAGAAGGATCCCCCGGCGTACCGGATTCCCTCTGGTGCAGCAAAGACCGCATCGTTGAGTGCTTCAGCATGGATCAGCCAATTCCGCCTTACCTTTTTGCCTTGGCTGCTGGTGAGATTTCAGGGCGGGATCTTGGACCTAGGACGAGAGTTTATGCTGAGGGCGGGCCCGAGGTGCTGGATGCTGCGGCGAGGGAATTTAGTGGGGTTGAGGAGATGGTGAGAGTTGGGGAGGCGTTGTTTGGGCCGTATGAGTGGGAGAGGTTTGATGTGCTTGTGTTGCCTCCCAGCTTTCCTTATGGAGGGATGGAGAATCCTAGGATGGTATTTCTGACCCCGACGGTGATCAAAGGCGATGCTACCGGGGCGCAGGTGGTAATTCACGAGCTCGCTCATAGCTGGACGGGGAATCTGATAACAAATAAGACCAACGAGGACTTCTGGCTCAATGAGGTGAATTTTTTTCCTTTTTTCTTGTACCTTACTATTACTTAATGCCTGCTTGTCCAAAGAAATTAGATAGTTCTGCATCACTATCTCTAATTTATCTATAAAGAACTAATTGGATTAATTAATAATTTTTGGACTAATTACAATTATATATTATTCTTATAACTATTTATTGATTAATCAGTGAGGTTAATGCATAATTATTTTTAATTTATTCTTTGCTAATCATTCTACAAGCTACTATCATCATCATCATCATTTACCCACGTTTGAATTCCCTAATTAATTTATTAATTATACTAATTTAGCATCTCCAACTTTATTTTCTCACTAATTTATTAAATTGATTAAAATAAATTCGTAACCTGTATCATCCTTGCTTATTTAATTACTCTGTAACAAATTTCCTGATTAAACATTGCTTAAGTAATTAGTGATTAACATTCTTTATGATCATTATTTAATTAATATATAATCAACCTAAATAATCTTTATTTAGTTAATTCACGTATTGATATAATATTATTCGTTATTTTCTTATGCAAAGGAAAACTGAAGGTGATTTTCAATTTTACAAACGTAAAGTTACTTCTCACCGTTATAACGATGAGATATAAATTGCTGCTTAATGTTATCTACTTTCTATCAAATAAATGTTTGATTGATATTCTAAATGTGGACACTGACCTCATTACACCCAAAAAAAAAATCCAAAATGCAAATTCAACCACTTTCATATACTCACGTGAAAATAAACTAGCTCTTCATGCTTTTTTCCTTTGCATTTGTTGGTTTCCGAAGATGAATCTATTCCCCTTTTAATGCAATTGAGGACTCAATTTTTCTATTTTTGGAGCAGGTATTATTTAATAAATCCATTTGTTGAAAACTTTGTAAATTTGGCTTTGATAACCCAGGAGATATATATTAACGCCTGAAAGTATTTTCGATGTTAATATCCATATTTTTTGAGTTAATTTTTAAAAATTTTTGGATGTAAGTCAGAGGAATAATGGATTTAAATGATTTTTATTTAGCTTTCTATAGTGGTTTGATCTTTCAGCAATAAATGTAAGCTATAAGATAATTAGAGAAGTATAATTAGTTATAAGGTAATTGAATTAATCTAATTAGAATAAGCTATTAGAATTGGTTTTATTCGAATTTAATTTAGATTATTAAGGTTTTAATAATGTAATTAAAGCTTAGGATATTTTTATTGATTCATTATTTAAATAATATAATATTTTATTGGTTACTAAGATAGTAAGATAAGACTGATTTTCCTCTTTAACATGAATTAATTATACTAATTAGTATTTCATTAGAATAAATGGGATTACATCTCTTCCAATCAAGCTAATTACATAATATATGAACTAATTAAACATCAACTATCCTAATTAATTTGTAATAAATCAATGAGTAGAATGCTAACTTAAGGATCAAGTAAGATCATAATATACTGATTAGAACTTTAATCTGATAGGAATTGATGTTACTTTAATTTTATCAGTTAGAAAAGCATTATGTAGTAATAATTAGTCTCATTAAAATTTAGGCTATATACTGCTATAGTTTCTTTGTTTTACTATATTTTAAATTATACTTATGGCTATGAATTTTAGGAAGATTGATGTTCACCTGAAAATTAAATTAGATTTAAGCTCAAGTTAAGATAAAATAGAAGTCAATCATCACACAAATGAGAAATGTTCTACTCAAATTGAATTTGAATTGAGTAAAATCTAGATCATATAAAGCTAATTCAATATCAAATCAAAATCTATATATATGTTTGTATGAATGCATATACACTTATTTATATGTATATTTAGATTTCAATTATTTTAAATATGCATTATGATATATATATTTTAACCTTTATATGCATGATTTTATTCATGTATATTGGATTAAGAATTTTTGTTAGGAGATTGGTAATCTATAGAGATCAAATCAAGTTTTGGCTCAAATTGAAGTTAGCAAGCCTCGGCTCGAATCAAGATTTGATCAAGCCAGCTTATAACCAGACTCTTGAGATTGGAGTCACTTCAAATTGATCTTAAACCAGAGTCAAATCGACTCAAGGTCTGATCGTCAATTGCTTTAATTGAGCTTGTGCTATAGTATGCTTTGTTGCTGAGTTTAGGGAGTGAATAACTATCTAGTGAAATTATTGCTAAGACTGTCGTCTAATTTGATTTAAAAGTAGATGTTATTTTATAAGAGTTTTTGTGGTATATTGGTAGAAGTTGGTTGAATAATCAAAATGGACTTTGATATAAAATTCATGTGAAGATAGTTTTATTTTCTAATTAACAATTAATGTGATTAATTAATTATGCTTAAATTTGTACTATTTATTGTAAACTAACTAAAATGACTTTTTATCATAATAATTTATTTTCTAAGCAGATATTCTAGTTAATCCCCCTAACTAGCTTAATGAATCCTACTAATTTAATATCTTAATTAGTTAATTCCTAATTAATTAGATCTTACTATTATTTTAATTAGTTTATAGAACACTGGAATGATTTATTATTCTATTAATGATTTGATAACTAATTAGTCTTATATGATCTCTATTTTAATTTATTAATCAACCAATCTATCTATAACTAATAATGTTTATTTATTATCTTAATCATTGGCAAAGTATTTCTAGCCCAATGCTTATCAAATTAGTGTAGTTAATCAAATTAGTTAATAGCCATGTTATAAATTAATCTTATTTTATTAGTTTAATTTGATATGTAATTTTTAACCATTCTTAGTGCGTGGAAGATCTATGAGCTTTCTTTGACAACTATCCATCTGGGAGTTAATGGATGCTAGTAGTTAAGTACTAGGAAGTTTCAGTTGTTAAATATGTAAATAGATATGAATTAAGTGTTATACATATAAAACTCATTAATCTATATTACATGCAACTAATGAAATATTTATTAATAATTAGTATATCAAAATAATGGAAGCAATGCATAATAATTAAGGATTAAACATTAACTTAGGCTAGTTTAAATTTTAATTATTATAATTTTTACTTCGATAATTCTAGGGTTTAATTAAACTTATCCAAGACACTAAATATATGTTATTATTGAATATATTAGTTAGGATATGATAATGGATCATAAAAGGTGAGAAGTTGATAATCATTTGAATAATATTTAAGAAAAGGAAAATGAGGACTCTATTGAACCAAACTTTGATGGAATGAGTATTAAGATTGTGATAGGAAATACTTGATTTCAAGTATTTCCTAATCACGTTGGCAACAAATCTCAAGAACAACCGCTGTCCACAGCAGGAAAACAGCCCAAAACTGAGGGAAAACAGAGAAAAACTGCAGCGAACACGGATAAAATACTTGTATTTTACTAATAGATGCAAGGAAAATAGCAAAGATACAAGGATCCTCTATTCGAGAGGAGGATCGCACTCTCCCAATCTCTAGACTACGATCTAGAGCCCAAATCACAAGAAGAACAAGAGAAATTTCAGAAACAAAATCACATAACCCTAAAACCACCCCATTACTCCCTACTTAATGCATACCATTCAAAATAGACACAAAAGGACCTAATTACCCTCACTTCCCTTCATTTTGGCTCCAAGAAACAATTTGAAATTCAAATGGACCCCACCTCTAACCTCCCTGCGGCTTCCGCCTCATTTTTCCGCCCGCCTCCTTCGGTAAACGCGAACCGGCCCGCTGGATTGGGCCGGCTGGACCGGTCCAGGGAGGACCGGTCTAACAGATTGTTAGTTGAAAAGTTGTCATAATACAAGTCTAGAAATTGATTGTTCATAAGCAAGGAGATTTTGTGGTGAAGTGAAGAGTTATAAAGGTTATTAAGGCAATAAAATATGTTTTTATAATGAGAAAAGTGTGGAAATAAAATAAGTACTCCGAGTCTTATAATAGTTATAAAAACATATGTCTTGCGAATAGAGTTGATAAAATTAATTATAAATACTATCTTTTGATGATTAACAGTAGGGTTTATATATTACTCTTAGCTCTTGAGGTATAAGGGGTGTTATACAGTAAACCGTGTTTCTAATAAGGAAAAGCAGCAAAAATCCTTGCTCTCCTTCTCACTCTATATGAGCTCATAATCATTTACAGATGCTCGCCTTGGTTTTGTGAGCTCAGCATTATTGATGAGCTTGCCTTCACAATAACTCAAGTTTGCATGGATGCCTGCTTCTGGCAAGCATAGGTAGTCCTTCCACAACTTAGATGCTTATGAGGTAGCTGACAGAGCCAATTCGCATTTTTATAAGTTTGTACTAAGACAATCCTTATGCAAGTTTGTACAAAAGCAAAATTATGTATAGGGATGAAAACCAACCCGAGCTGCTCAGGGAGTCCGTGTGCAAGCTACTGCGTGCAATCTTGTAGTCTGCATGACAGACCTTGCATTTCACACAAATTTGTCATGCCAACAATCTAGTTGACCACTAAAGCTTCAGTAGTTAAGCTCTAGACTACCTTTTTGATTGAGGGTATTTTAAAAGAATTGTGGTTCAAATACAAATATGTTTTATGATACATTTTAATAGAAAAATTAATGTTGATAATTGAAAATTACCTTTATGAAGATCAACAATTTATCTTAAAGCCAGCTTGCATATGAGAAAGGCATTAGGAACCTAAATATAACGATTGTAAAAATATGGGCCCATCATGAAGCAGTCCTTTGACCTCAATAACTCAGATCTAATTTACCTTGTATATTAAGCTATGTACAAAGGAGAATAGAAGATGTATAAATAACGAAGGTAAGAGAAAGGTTCTTAGTGACTTTGAGTCTTTGATCATGCTAGATGTATTCAAAGTAAACTTAATAGGATCTCAGGAAGATAGAATAGTAAGGAAATTGAAAATGAGAGTTTTAACGAAGAAATTGTTTTAAAAGAGCATCATGAATACTTCTAAAGAAAAAAATGGATAGATCTAGAATAATGAACTTGAAATTTCGAACTTTATATTCAAATGAAATACTCATTGAGATTTAGGCTTCATTTGATTGGAAGTTTTTGGTGCTTATTCTGTTTTAAAACAACAAATTCATTTCTTCTTTACTGTTTGGTTCGTCAAATCAAGTTCCTAATAACTCCATTTGTTTCATTTTTCTGTTGTTTTGAGAAAGCTTTTTATATATGCTTCTCTGGTAGAAAACTCCATTTTCTGAATCAATATTTTTTAAAACTGTCTTTTACAAAAGTACCAAAAAACCAAACGAAGCCTTAGAGACTTGTGAGAGATATTAGAGTAGATTGGTTAACTGCTATTTAATGGAATTAAAAAAAAAAAACATGTCAATGGAATGAAGAAAAGGATTTTGGTGCCAACATTTGAAAGAAAATGAAACATATAAGGTTGTTGTAATTATAGGAGAATTAAATTTATAGGTCATGTAATGAAGTTATGAGGGAGAATTAATTTATTTTCATACAAAAAAGATCTATAATGGATTTTTTAAAATTGTTTTAGCTTGCCTAAATAATGCATCCAAAAGGACTCTTTGAAGGCCTTTATGTATTTTATTGATAAAGCCTATACATTTTCTAAACATTTGTTTAAGACTTTTATTTGACCTAAATCAGAAAGGAACTCTAGTTTGTGTTTTAAATAAAAATAGATTATTGGAGTATGCTATGAATTTTGTCGACAAATTATATATGTCATTATTTTAATTAATGATCCATTTTTATAACATAAATTATTCTTTTTGTAAGAATCAAATGAATTTAATAGCATGTCTTAGATACCAATACCATTAAGTTTTGCATTGAAAGATTTTATCCATAAAGTTTGTGATATAGGGTATATAAGATATTTATATCGAAGGCAACAAATTAATTGGTGCCCCCTTATGGAGGTGGTGGAAGTGTTATTGGGTGGTGGTGAAAAGGGTATTCAGGGTTTGGACGTATTTGATGGTGAAACTTTTATGATATCAATGGACAAGCTTTTCTTGAATGAAAAGGGTGAAGAATTCTAGATCAAAGGTTTAATATGTTAGAGAATTGATATTGATATTTTTATAGATTTTGCATCAGTGATTAAAGACTTGTGATGTTTTAAATTCGATTGCTCACAACATAAAATTGTCTCTATATGTTGGATTTTTGGCTAAAATATTTTAAGGTTATTTGGGGAGTTGTGGTCTTGTGAGATTATTAGGGATAGAAGGGGAATATTTGGGAGAGTTTAGAAGGGGTTGGATGTATTTTAGGATTGAGGGGAGCTATGATTGAGGTTATGTGGACAAGATGAGTATTTGAGAAAAGATAATTAATGACTCATTAAAACCCTAAGGGATCAACCACCAATCATTACCAGAGATTAGAGTAGCTACCAAGCATTTTAATCTAAAATTTGTATAAGCAAAAAAGAATTTGTATTCATTGAATCCAAAAGCACAGAGTTGTATCTTATTTATACATCTTTTTCAAGCTTAAATAGCTTGAAATCCTTAGGGGTTAATTAAATATTATTACATGGATTGATGACTTATCATAATATAATAAAGAATAAAATAAATTTTAAAGCTCTTGAAAATATGAAAATTTAGATTAGTCAAATAAGGCAAATAGAGTGGCATTGAAATTAAGTAATTTTTAAAAGTTTTTATTTCCTTGATTGAAAGGGTTGACCTACCCATCGATGAACTTCAAAATAAGCTTCTTAATTATTATCCAATGATTTTAGAGAGATTATGGGTCATCCATGGGCTTGCGTGTAGAGTTGTCCATGGTAAATGACCCAAAATCTTAATGCAGTTCATTGGTTCGGGACCTTATCCTTGATTTTTATCTTGGTGTGATGCATCACTTGGTTAGTGACTTATGCCTAAAGAAAGGCTGGGAGTTGGTAGTCTTGGGTTTTTAAATCATTTACAAAGTTACACCTAATTAACACTTGTTATAACTTTGTTAATGACATTATCTTGGCTAATTGTGTTTTCTCTTGATGTTTTTTGTATTGAAGTTTTAGATCATTGTTTTTTTCTCTTGATCTATTTTGGTGTTTCTTCTTGTCACATATTTCTTGATCCTTATATAATTCAAATCACATAAAAAGATTGAGATGAGTGCTTTGAGATTCACAAATTTGGACCAATAAAAATTATCTTGCATTGGGATTCACAGCTCATTGGGAATTGTGCCTTGTATAGAATCATTTATTTTTTTCTTTTTTGAAATTGTCCTGTTATATAGAAGGCTTTAAGGAAATGCTCCATGCGTCGTTTGGAATGTAGCTTGGGTTGCGTGATATTGAGATTGGCATCCTCAGGCCTTGCTCATGTGCTCAATCTTTCCTTTCTTGACATGTTGTGTGACTATATGTATAGTCTTTTGCAAGGTTTTGTATGCAGAAGTACATGGAGAAATGCGGTTTTAGCGGTGCATAAAAGCAAAAGATTTTTGTGCGAGGTAATATCCTGTTTTAAAATTCTTGGGATTTCCTCTTCTTCTTTGCTTTGTGTATGTACTTAGGAATATGAGAATGGTGGCACGTGCCTATTTTTTTGTTTGCTATTGTTTGGACTTTTGTTTGTTAGAGGACTGAGTCATCTCTCTTCTCTCTCACGGACATTGGTTTGATTGAAGTTGAACAACATAGAATGTGCAATTGTTAGTTGTTTATCAATGTATGGATTCCTCACTCTTTTTTTGTGCCTTATATAATTATAAAAAACTTGAACAACTCATCATCTTTGTTGTGGCGTCCCCTTTCTAGAATGAATGCATTGAGAAGACGTGCACTTGTAGGTTGTATGATAGGGAATTAGGGACTAGTTAGGCTTTTGTATCGATTTGTAATATTTTTGGTTAATCAGTTGAATTTTGATTAAGATCGACATGTGCGCTCTTACTGTAACGCTTACCGAAAGCCTAAAGTATTGAGTCAGCATGACAAAGATGGATGGATGTGCATCCCTTCGGAATAATACATTATAGTTGGCCAAATAAAGATTCCACCAAACGTGATCTAACAGCTCCATAATATTATGCTAGACGATTTTGAACATATTTTGATATGATTGTGCACCTAGGGCTGCCGTGAAATTCCGAATGTGATTACAAATATCTTACCATAAAGCAAATTTATATTCAAGTGTGATTAATTTAACTACTAAAATATCAAAGAAATAATGGAAGTATACTAAAAATGCTTGCTACTAGTCCATGAGACTTGTGCAGAAAGGAGAACTAATTTTCTTCATTTCCAATCAAGCTACTAGTAACTTTCTAGGGTACTATTGTGCGGCTCATCGTTTTAAACCAAGTACATTTTAATCTACTGATAATTCTAGTGCATATTATGCTACTGCCCTCACATCATCCATGATACATCCCTAATCAACTGTTGCATTAGATCCTGACCTTTTCTTAGTAATTATTTGCACCTGAACGAGATCAAACCAGTTGTTATCAAAACAGTTGCATTATATCCTTCAGCTGAGTTTCATTAATTCTGCCTGATTTAGCCCATAATCAACTTCTCCCTCTTAAAATTTGGGATGCTTTTGGATGAAATCAACCTAAAACAGCCTCTCTCATCTTTAAAACAGCCTCTCCCATCTTTACGTTGACGTGTATGACTTCAGAATAAAATCTTGTTCAAGAACACTGACATCTTTATTGAACTATGCTCAATCACTGTTGGGTTTCTTGTTTAGATATTTTAAAGGAAGATTTCTCAAAAGTATTAAGTGGCAAGCAACCCTTACTGTGAATCAGCTCAATAATAAACTACATAACTATTTTAAAGTATGTAATATTATGAGATAACCATTACTAATAATTATTAAACATATTGCATAGCCAATAATTTAGGCTTATTAAAGAGGGATTATAAATTTGAGGTTTTCAAAGAAGAAGTGAGTGTATTTGGGTTTGTTAAGGTGGTTTTAGGGTTTTAGCATTCAACCTTATAAATTCTAGAAGTTGTAAATATTCTCCATTTAAAATCAGAAAATATCATTGCAAATCTTGAAATTTTTTATTTAAAAATTGTTGAATTATGCAGCCAAGAGGAGGCCTCGTCAGCAATCCGTGAGCCGCAATCCGAGGGCTGCAGTTGGAGATCCGTGGCCAACAATTTGAGGGTTGTAGTTGGAGATTTTTGGGCAATAGCAGTTATCCGAGGGTTACAGTCGGAGATACGTGGGAAGTAATTCGAGGGATGCAGTTGGAGATCCATAGGATATGATTTCTATAATTAATTAGATTAAATGTATTTGCTTTTTTGTTTATTCTCCCAGAATGTATACATATGTAATGATTCCAAGAAATAGAATAGAATTCAAATTTCTCTCTAAACAATTTCTTCATGGTATCAGAGCCTAGGAAAATCCTAAGCCTTCTTTGAGTGCTAGAGGAAAACCTTCCTCCCTTTCTTCCAAACCCTCAAACGGTGGTAACACTCCATCATCCTACAAAAAGCCTCATCTCTTCAAGCATCGGCAGCCTTTGCCCAAAATTCATCTTCTCTTACAATTGAGGAAACCCAACCATATCCATAGACAACAAGATCTCACCCTCCTATCCAAATATTACTGGTTTAAACACCGAAAACTCTGGATCTGCAAACAACTCTTCTTCTCTTCCTAGACCTTGGTGTGATCACTGTGCTAAACCAGGATGTACAAAGGAGATATGTTGGAAGATTCATAAAAAACCAGCTGATTGGAAGGCAAAACAATCAACACAAGAAAGCAAGGCGAACTCTGTCAACAGTACGCAAGATCAATCCATCAAAGCTAAAGTTATTCCTTTCACCAAGGAGCATTTAGAGATGCTGAAGTTGCTACTTAACAACATCACAAACCAACAGTCTTCAGAACCTGCTATCAGCCTACACCTATGATGCACCGACACGGACACGTCAACACGGATACGACACGGACACGGGACACGGCATTTTTTAAAAATATAGGACACGGGTGCGGCATGGACACGACATAATAATTTTTTAATATAATATATAGAAATTAAGATGATATTATATTAAAAATGACAAGAAATAATAAATCAATTTCATGATAACTTGTTTAGCTTATAACATAAAGATGTTTAGTACAAAATGTCTACTACAACCACAAAATATAAGCAAAAAATTATTTAGTACAACATGAAGGCCCAACTACTCAATAGAGGGAATGATAGAATTAGATTCAGAGGTTGATCTTTGGCATTCAATATCATCATCATTGAATATCATTGCTTCCAACTCTGGTTCATATAGAGAAAGATTTTCAACCTCTAATAATCTCATATTATCAAGACACTCGAACCCATCTCCAGCAACATCTCACATCTTATTATCGCATGTCATATAAAGCGGGGCTTTCCTTGATAGAAGATGAAGTTTTGTATGCATATAAACTAAATCTTCAACTCGTTGTGGAGTTATTTTATTCCTCTTCATTGATTGAATAAATGAGTATGTGCTTCAATTTATCTCACAACAAGAAGATGACCATACTAGAAGTTATGCTTGTTTTTAATATTCGTAAGTTATTTGTATGGAAAGGTACCAAGCGGTACCGAGCATGTACCGAGCGGTACCGAGCATGTACCGAGCGGTACCGAGCATGTACCGAGCGGTACCGAGCATGTACCGAGCGATACCAAGCTTGTACCGAGCGGTACCGAGCTTGTACCTAGCGCTACTGAGCTTGTACTGAGCGGTACCGAGCATGTATATTAGCTTTTTTTTTTGGTAAGTTTCAAAAATCAACAATTAATATTTCAGGCGTCAAGAGTTAGACGTCGATGCCATTTATCAGTCACCGAAAGAGGAGATGAAAATATCTTCACTGTAAAAAAAAATGAATATGAGAATATTCGATGATTGAGAATTAAGTGTGGATGTTGATTTGGTGTTGTGGATAGGAAATAAGAAATTTAGTTTAAATCCCGCAAAATACAAGAAATTATATTTTAAAAAATTCATAAAATATTTAAGATACGCGTGTCGGACACGCGTGTCCAATTTGCATTTAATATTTTTTAATCGGACACGTTTTATCGTGTCCGACACGTGTCGGAGGAGTGTCGGGCAAGTGTCGTGTCGGACACCGTGTCGGATATTGCACGTCTCTTTGAGGAAAAGTGTCGGTGCATCGTAGGCCTACACGCTCACTCAAGTATAAAACAATCAAAACTTTGGGTTATTGACTTAGAAGCATCAGATCATATGACAGGAGACATTATACTCCTTCATGACTATCAACTTTATCATTCAAATCGAGTAGTTAAGATTGTTGATGGCTCAACATCCAAAGTTTTGTGAACTGGCTCTGCTTTTGTCATAGAAGCTATCGCCCTTAAATCGGTGCTTTATGTGCTAATCTTGAATGCAATCTGATTTCCATTAGTAAATTGACTCGTGATAGTAATTGCTTAATAATTTTCTCCAATAATATATGCATTTTTAGGAACTGAATTTGGAGAAGAAGATTGATAGTGCTGAGATGTGTTATGGGTTATATTATATCAAGACACCCAAATCCATACAAACCTTAATTGCTGCTCCTAAGAATCCTTCTCCTAAGAATCATCCTATTGTAAGTCAATTTGTTGAGAGTCATTCTAGAGTCAGTCAAGATAGAGAGATTATCATGTGACATTATAGGTTACTTAATTCAAATTTCATGTATCTTGAAAATCTTTTTTCCCATTTATTTATTAATAAGAACTCAAATTTGTTCAAAAGTAAAACTTGCTAATTGGCTAAACATACCAAATCATCTTACCCAATTGTTTTTTACCAACCTTCTAAATCCTTTGCTATCCATAGTGATACTTAGGGACCCTCAAGGGTTAAAAATATTATTGGAGTAAGGTGGTTTATGATATTTGTTGATGATCATACTAGACTCACTTGGGTTTATTTAATGAATGAAAAATCTGAAGTTGAAAGGATATTCAAATCATTTCAACTGATTATTCAAAACTAGTTTGATACAAAATTTCAAATCTTAAAATCAGACAATGGGATAGAGTACTTTCATTCTATCATGAGAGAATACCTATCAAGCCAATGGATAATCCAAGTGAGTTCATTTGCGTATACGCCTCAACAAAATGGGATAGTTGAAAGGAAAAATAGGCAACTCCTGGAAGTCGTCAGATTCTATTATACTATTTACAAAAGTACCAAAATATTTGGGGGAAGCCATTTTTACTGTTGTATACCTAATAAATAGGTTACTTACTCGGATATTAAAATTTGAAACACCTAGATAAACTCTACTCAAAGCCAATCCTCATGCTCAGTTCATATCATCAAACCTTCCATCTAAAGTTTTTGGGTGCTTTGTCTTTATTCATATATATCCACAAGATAGAAGCAAGCTTGACCTAAGATAAAAAAAATGCGTCTTTATTGGCTATTCCTCGACAAAAAGATGTTACAAATGCTTTTGCCCTATTTATAGGAAAGTATTTTAAACCATGGATGTCACTTTCTTTGAAAATAATCCATACTTCACTAGTTTTAA